CCCCCCCCCCCCCCCCCGCCCCCCTCTGAAAACGCGGACCAAGCATACATTTGTTTCTGCTACAGCTGCAGTCTAGTCTAGAGCATACGGCTCCTGTTGGTTTGTGAGATTGATGTGCGAATAGAGGTGGCCATCGCGGGTGCCACAGGGCAACGTTCCCTGTTTCTGCCGTCGTGTTACCTTTGGATTGATCCTCGTGAATGCTGCCGAGGCCCGACATTATGGCGTCCAACCAGAGGGCCGTGGTATACACGGTGCCGCATGGGCGGGTTTTAGAACGAACCCCCACCGGGGGAGCTTTCAGGGTTAAGGGGAGGTTGCGTGCCTGTTTTTGTTGGTCAACGGTGTTGTTCCGTGCAGAGCGAGATGACAGCTGTGCATGCGGCAGTTTCTCTCGTGGTTGTGCCATGCTCCTGTTTTTCGTGCAAGACCGACGGAATGCTGATGCAAAAGACGTTCGTTCTCTCTCTGCGGTATTCTTCTTCGTAGCGAGAGCCCCGAGGCAATCGATCGATTAGTCACTGCGAATGCTGTTCAGCGCCGGGTCTTTGGAGGAAACAAGCCCCACGAGATCGAGCATTTTTAACGAGGTTGCCCGCATGTGGCATGGCCGAGTGAGGGAGACTGCCTAATGGCAGCACTCGCCATTCAGGCTGGGCGCTTTCTTTCCTTATCTCATATTGGAGCGGGGGGGGGGCTTTTTCACGCATGTCTTGTGAACTTGCCATCTTTGTCCGTAGCATGTTGCTCACCTGGCTTCGCCGTGATCGACGTGTTTTTGTTGCCGCTGTGCAGGCTGTGGACATGTGGAGCATGGGTGTTATCTTCTACACCTTGCTCGGGGGCTATCACCCGTTCCACGACGAGAGGCAACCACGGCTTTTCCGGAGGATACGGGACGGGAGCTTCGTTTTCCACGACGAGTTGTGGAGCAGCACGTCGGACCAGGCCAAGGTAACGAAGGGATTTGCTAGCGGGTTGTTCGTTTTTTTCGAACTCGATGACGAGTTTGCGTGTGTTGTGCTTGTTGGCCCGTTCGCCTCTCTCAGTCTCTCGACCGTGAGCGCAAGGTCAAGAGGCTTTCGCATGCTTCCGTGCTCTTCAACCTTTTTGATGATGTCGCACATGAACCTTTGCCTTGGTCTTCTCGCTTGCAGGACTTCGTCCGCAGGCTGCTGCTGGTGGACGCGACGAAGAGGATGACCGCTAACCAGGCGCTGCAGCACCCCTGGATGCTCGGGTCGGAGAAGGACCTCGCCAAGAACGACCTCAGCTTCAACCAGGAGCAGCTCCGAGTCTTCAACGCAATGGCCAAGCTGCGTGCGGCAATCAAGTCGGTAAGAGACTTTTGGCGGCATGGAGAGGGGGGGGGAGGGGGTATACTCATATCCGTGCATGCCGTAGTCGTTAGAGCATTGACCTCGCATCCCTACAACGCCGAGACGGAGGGGGGGAGCGTGAGCGGATTTGATAGCCGCCGACCGTTGCGTTTGCTTGTACTCCGCCGCGACAAACACAAAGACAACACCGGCAGCGGCTATGATAGAACCCAAATCACCGGCGAACGCAAGCGCGGCTTTTCGGATCCCTACTAAATGTTGGCAGCACGCGCCTCAGCGACCAGCATGTAAAGTCCAAGCTACTACCCTGCGCTGTTGTACAGGACGGGGGGCATGGTGTCATTGCGTCTTTTCCAAAATGCGTCTTCGTTGGCAGTAATACATTCCTTCCTTCGCTCCTCACGTTCCTGCCCTATGTGCTCCTCGGTTTTCGGCGGTCGTTGTGTCGTCCCCCCTTTCCTACATTGGCATGATCAGGTGATGGCGACAAGGAGAGAGTTGAGCTCGTGACGAGTGAGGAGGCACGAAGCAGCGGACGAATTCCAGAAAGCACGGCCTCGAGTGTTTGGACTTGCTCCGGGTCTCTGTTTTTCACACGCTGCTGGGTCTCGAAAGCGTGTCGATGCATTGCCGCAAGGGGAATTGCGGGTGCGTAGGTTTCATTGGGGTTAGGTTTGTTGTGGAGGGTAGAGGAAAGGGGGGGTGGTTTTTGTATCCAGTATAGAATATGTATCTGTGAAATTCCTAAATATGTTGGAGAGAGGGGGCGGTGCGAACCGAAATAGGCCATCGAGTCAGATAACTCTCTTGGTCGTGGGTAATCCTATATTTTATCGCCCCGATAACCCTTGCGAAAAGTCTTGCTCGCCCGCCGTTGTAGACGAGTATTCGATGCGGAGCAAGTTAGAATGCTGCGAGTTCGTAGTTCACTCGAAGCGGGTTGTAGATGTGAACGGCAGCCGTCGGGCGTTCCGTTTTTCTGCATCTATCAGGTGACCTAGCTTTGGCTTTGTTGCCGCCAGGACACCTGTAGAACTAGCCTCAGAGTAGTGTTTCATGTTTGCGGTGCGGGTTTCGCGATATAATTATGAGTATTCTGCGCTGGAAACCCGTTGGTGTGGTTTTTTTAGGGGCGAGAAGGGGTGGGGGGTTTAAGAACCGAGTACATTTGTGGCTTGATTTTTGAGACTTGGTTGTCGCATGTCTTTGATGGTTGCATGTTTGAAGTGTTCTGGAAGATATCGGCGTGCCATTGTGGTACAGACTCCCTCGCATAAAGGGGTGCCAGCAAGGGGGTGCCAACAGCCATTTAGCTCCGTTTGCCACCCTATGCACTTGCGTGCGTCTCGCTGTATCTTGACTTCGTACTCGTGTAAATGTGTTTGTTGTTTTGGTTAATAGTGCATTTTGACACGCTGGGGGTGTGGTTTCTTCGGTACATAATGGCTTTGACGACGGGAAAGAGTGGTGGAGTTGTCTTTTACACCACGGTGTTTGTAAGTTTTCATGTGTTGAGGGGTAGGTTGAGGCTAATACTGCAGTGCGATTGGAAAGACTTGTGTGTGTTCCCATGTACCGTAGACAGTAGACAGCATTTTTTCTTTTGGAGTATAACCATGTCCTCGCTGTACGAGTTTTTCGCCCACTGTTTTCTGCTACAGTATGCATACAATACTCTCAAATGATCTTGGTGTTCCACCATGACGGCGATGGCATTTGGTGAGAGAGGGCGGGAGGGGAGCAGGGATACCGAGTACATATGTATCAACTTGGTTTTGGGCACCTGGGTTTCAGACGTGCGTCTTTCTTGCGGCGACCAAGCCGGCGATGAACAACGATCTGCAGCTCTGTGTCTGCCATTGTTGTTGGGGAGGGTGGCCACATCGTGTGTTATGCTTAACCGTCACATCACGCAGATCCAGCTGCATGGAAGTAAGCCTTAGCTCTTCCCTGCTGGGCCTCTGTCCACACGCCCTCGCCCGGTACTTACTGTTGATTTTGGATCGGTTCGAGTCTACATGCCCGTGCATGGAAAATCCCGGCCAGGTTTTTTTTTTCCTTGTGTCACCGGAGGAAATCTAGTCCCATGTCTTTTTTTGCTGTAAGAATTTGCCCTACACGTTTCGGTTCGTTTTATTGGTCGGTTCTTCACACCTAGTGAGCTATTTAGTGTTGATTTCAAGTATGGTAGGTTTGGGGGCCCCTCACGACGGCGTGATTCAAGGCCCGCGGATTGTGTATACCATTTGGGGCGGGGCGGATGATGACCGGTGAAAAGGCTAGTACGGAAGCTGTTTCTTTCACCAGAGCGCCGGCGCGGTTGTAGTGTTCAGTCCTTTTCAATGGCAAAGTAGTGCGTGCGTACGATAGGGATCGCATGGGGCAAGAAGAAGAGCCGCTGTGGTGCCCAAGAAGGAACGACTCCTCGATGTTTTCTGTGAAAACTCATTTCTTTTAGTGTAGAGGTAAATAAGCTTCACGCAATGAAGCTTTGCGTTATTCTTGCAGCGGGCTCGGGTTGTGGAGAGGATTGTACGCGTGGTCTGAATGAACTCCAAGGGGAACAACGAAACCGCGCGCGATAGCACGGGTCACGCGCAGAAAATAGCATTCCAGAAATGGTAAATACCAATTCTTTCGCCACGACGTCGTGAAGCTCTTTCGAAGGAGAAGCTGAAATCAAACTATTAGACTAGTCAGCAAATAATTCCATTAGACTAGTCAGCGCTGACTATGTACTGTAGTCTTATGGGTTGGTTTCAGCTTCTACAAAAGGAAGTCGTACTTCGTTTGAGTACGCTCAATCGCGTGAATGGACTTTTTTGGGGGGGTTGTTGACGAGGGAAAGAGGGGTGGCGGCCTATCCGGCTGCTGTCGGATCTCTCTTGCAATAAAAAGCCGAAGCGCACAAGAATTATTCCATTCCGAGTGACCGATGGCGTGTCTCCTGGTGATGTGCATCGCACAGCAGTATGATAGTAAATTTATCGCCTGAGTCTCTCCGTCGTGGGGGCTAATCTTCTGATCATCAAGCCTTTTCTTTTTTCGCTGGCGAGCAATTCGCCCTTTCCCCGAAATAAGCGGTGAAAAAATGTCCTCGTGTGGTATTTGGTGAAAAGTGTGGTTGGTTGTATCGTTTTTCATTACGTCCGTTTCGCGTCAGGGATGACAACTTGTTCCTGTTTCCGATTCTCCAACTGAAAAGTCTCTTCAGTCCACACACCTATCAAAAGCGATGAGAGACGTCCTTTGTTCCAATACACGTTGATACATCCAACACGAACAACACCATCCCAACGTTTACTTTCGTCGGACGAACTACAAATCGAGCCTACAACCGCCGTCACACGCTCAACAACCAAAACGGAAAATTAGGCCGACCTCGCTCTTCTTGCCGAAAGACGACGCCACGGCACACGGCATACCACAGAAACGGATCACACGTATCAAAGAACCAGGATACATGAAAACGAACCTGTCACAGCCAACGAGGGGGAGGAGGCGTCGGGCGCAAATGCGTCGGGAACACATTCCATGGCAACAGCGTCTGCCAAAACAGCTGCGCCAGGGGGGACGAGGGGCTCAGGTTCCCCTCCGCCTCTCCCTGTCCCCTTCGCCCCCCCTGCCGCCGCATTCTCGCCGCCGCATCCTGCCTGCCGATCACTTGCATCGCCATCGCCAGCACCTCGTCCAACACTTCCTGGCCGCCCCCCCAGCCCCGCTCGCCACCCCCCCCCGGGACTACTCCCGGTGGCACACGCAGCCGCACCCGCTCGTTCATGAAGTTCGGGCCCATCAGTCGCGGGTCCAAGATGTTAGCGTCTTGCGGGAGAAGCGCGAAGGACTCGTCGAAGTCTGAGAGCGACAGGTCGAGGTACTTTTGGATGGGAGACCCCTCGCCGTAGGCGCGTTGGACAACCTCCACCTCGGCTGCGCTGGGGCAAAAGTCGGCGCCGATTGTGCCCGCTGGTGCTGGTGCCTCCCCTGCCCCTGCCCCTGCGCCGGCTGCCTCTCTGGTCGCCGGCGTCGAGGGTAGACCCTGCAGTGCGATCCCTGCAGCAAAGACGGAGAGCAGGCGTCGGCGGACGTGGCGGGGTGCCAGTGAGCACACGGCCGCGGGAGCGCAAAGCGACAACGCAATAAGCTGCTTCGGCTTCGGGTGTCGTGGAATAGGGTGCGCCATCGTCTGGCAAGGATTTCGTTCGGCCGCGGCAAGGTGAGTTTTTTCGAGAAACCTTCAAAACCGTCCCTCGGAAAAGTACAACACAACAACAGAAACAGCAAAGAAACAACAGCAGCAGCAGCAGCAGCAGCAGCAGCAACCAAAACTAGACCCTGAATAAAGCCAAATCTACTCTCGATGATCAACCAACTACAGCAGTTGAAGAGGATAAAAAAACACGAAAGACCTCACCAGCTCCATCGTACAGGAGCTCCTCCGCCCGCTCATGCTTCCAAAGTTCGCCGCCCCTCTGGGCAAATATTCTGCGGCGGGAAAAGCGGCAGTCGCCAAGCGCAAAAAAGCAGAACACCGCCAAACGCGGTTAGCGGAGATAATGATTAGCTCGATCGCGTACAGAGGTATATTTAGTGAAACGAGTCAGTGAGACTAATTTCACGTTTGGCCTTGTGGCTGCGCTCTACCTTGAACACAGGACCACAACACGCAACACGCAAGCAACGACTGATTAAGACAAAGTTGACGTTTGGCCTTGTGGCTGCGCTCTACCTTGAACACAGGACCACAACACGCAACACGCAAGCAACGACTGATTAAGACAAAGTTGACGTGTGGCCTTGTGGCTGCGTTCTACCTTCAACCCAAAGACCACAATACACAACACGCAAGCAGGTGTAGCCGCGGTGCTTACACCGCTACAAAGAGTCCCCTGGTGCCCTGGTGCCCAGGGTAAACAGGTGAGTTGAGAATGCTACGCACAGACCTTGATGAAACCCAAGCCAAGCGGAAAAGAGGGAATTAGCACGCTCTCAATTGTCTTGTTTACCTCGCGAGGTGAAGCAGGACATGCCCTGCCGGGAGCCGATCCTTCGCTCTTCCGAAGTGAGGATGCTGCATGACCGATTTCCAGTCGTGGGGGTAGGTTGTTGACCGAGGAGTCACTCCGCACCTGCCGTCATTTATTTAGATAGGTGGAACAGTGGTCACATGACGCACCGGTTCCAACTCGTTCCGTGAAGAGACTCGAGCGCAAATCCAGCGGAGCGCACTGAATCGCTTCAGAGCGAATGCCGTCGTGTGACAGAGAAAGCTAAGCTTAGCGGAATGTGTAACTCAGCGGCCACCAAACGGTCGTAGTCTACATATTGGAGGCGCATTCCTGTAGCATGCTCCCCCGTTCAATGTCCATCGATGCCAGGTGCCAGTTTAACGGATACCAAGAAAACCAGAGCAGCCGCCAAGCGGACTCCCCACATCGCAATTGGCGCTCTCTACTCTGACACGACGACTACCCCGTCTCACTTTTCCAGGAGAGGCTCCAGCATGATGGGGAAACGGAGCATGGTCGACGCCATGGCTTCTCGGGCAGCGGTGGAATCTCCCGTGGTATCCAGCGTGGCGAGACACACCGACATGCTCAGACCCGGCAAGTCCTGGACAGTCACGCCCACGTCTCCGTCTGGAGGGAGCGCCCGACAACAAAGGCGGCGGACAGGACAAAGATCAACAGGCGAGGTCGAGGGCACGCAAGGGAAATCGATCAGACCATTCGAGTTGCTAGGGTAAGAAACCAAGGCGCCCAAACGCGGCGTCTCGGAGGCGGGGGAACGCGCGTTCCTCCCGCCAAGTGGAAAATGCTTTACGAGCACGGAGCGCTCAACAACTTCAGCACAAAGCACGAACGCGTAACAGGCAACGTCAAGCATCCAGACAACAATGGAAAAGGGCTAGCTAGCTCAATCCGTCGGCACTCCATGCATACCTCCAAATTCCTCCTTCGTTCTCTTCCTACTCCCCCTGTACGTTATCCGACTACATCTTCACCCGTTTCAACATATGCATACCAAAGCTGCAACGGTGGCAACTGACCTACACCCGCTCCAGAGGCGAAAGCCTCCGCGGCGCGGGAAGGCGAACGGCCGACGGGAAGCTTCGACCGATGGAGCTCTATCAGAAACCCGCCCTGGCGGCTGGTCAGAGCATGGCTGTCCAGAGCCAGCAAACAGCCCATGGGGTCACCGAGCGGATCGAGCGACAGCAGCAGTCGGCCCACTTCTAGCGCCGTGCGCGCCCCACCCACCATGCCTGCCATCTGAGCTCCGCATAGGCAAGAGAGAAGCGGGGTGTGTGTGAGAGAGAGGACCAGCTACCGTGTGGGTGGGCAACACGACCAAGCAGCGCTTGTCAGCAGCGACACAGCGTAATCTCAACAAGGAACACGACTCTGAACACTTCGAGTGCAGCACAACTCGGCCAGGAATTCCTCGAGCCGCCTACAGTATAACCCCCCGTCGACGGCAAAGAAAGAAATTCGCAGACGGTTCCATCCACGATGGGGCACAGCGCAAACACGTCGACAGGCACGTTCTGTCTTGCTGGTTTATGTGCGAGCAGATTCGGTTGTGAAGCCCGCTAATCCGCTGCGGCCCCCTCTTGAAGGGGGAATCAAGTGGGCTTCGGGCGGTGAGCGAAAAACTGGAGAGTGAAGATCCTCTGCTGCTGCAGCTACGTGCGGGTTGGGATGCCTGCTGGCAGGCCCTCACTTGTTCGTATGCACCTCCCCCAGCTACGCCCAAAACCAGCCGCAATTCAGCAAGGGTGAGTGGAGCCAAGAAAAGTTGCCCGTACGGTAACACGGGCGTACATACGTTGCTGCTGTTGTCCTAAATAACCACCGCCACAGCACAGAAACCCGCCGCACGGTGGCTGCCGAAGGCAGCCGTAATGGCACAACATTCGCACGGATCCCGGCCGGCATGTTGCGAAACCCCTGATTTCGAACGGATGCGTCACACCGTGCTAACTGCTTTTCCGCACCTGCATGTGCCTGAACATCGCCGCGAAGTAGGTCTTGTTGACTTCAAGGGTGGCATCCAGGCGACAAGCGCCGTCCACCGGCCTGAACGCCTCCATCGTAGCGCTTTCGAGGACGTACAGGGAACGCCCGACAAACTCGGACGCACGATCCATCTGCGGCGGTCGTGTGAGTAAGCACGAGCACAACCCGTAGGGGAAAGCGGGCGTTTCTCTTCCATACAGCCACAGGAACGCAACACAGGCCGGGACAAACCTGGTGGCACGACATTATTATAGTACTCCAGCGCCCAAAGAAGCGTGTTGACGACATCGCACAGCTTGTGAGGCAGTGACACAGCGTGGGAATCAGGAAGTCATGACAGTCAGCGCGCGGGAGAGGGCGGGTGGGTTTTGATGAATCTGGTCGAAAACCTCCCTTGGATTTGGCCAAAATGCACACTGGTAAATGCGTACACGTAGGAGCGAGCTCCGACAGGGCATCAACTCAAAAGTGATTGGATGGAGCAAACTGCGGACGGAAGACGTCAGCACTACGCGCGGTGGTGGGACGGACGTGCTTAACGGCGAAGGAACGTGAAAGTGTACGAACCGCCCACCTGAAAAAAAAAAAACTCAGATCCTTGTCGGTGTCAACGTCAACGCTTGCCTGCCCCGTGTGTGCAAACACCATTCCGAGCTGCAGGAGGGCGTCGGCATGGTAGGGTGCCCTAGACGCGAACGACGCCAGGAAATTGGGGTCGTGCATGCCCTGGATTGCCTCGAACTTTCGCTGCGAGCGAAACACACAAGGTACGCAACAACAACAACAACAAAAAAGCGAGGAAACAAGCCACGAGCAGTGTGAGTCGCGCGGGTTGGCAGGTAGGCCGCGGATGACGTCAAAACAACCGAAACATCACTCTCCTCGGAGAAGAGCCGCGAGAACGCCTTCGCGTGGGGGTTTCCACCTCCTTCTCCCGGCCCATGTCACGAGCGACGACGCACAAACACAGACGGAGGGATTCTCCCAGATGTTTTTGTCGCTGACCCACTAGAGAACTACAGGGGATGTATTGTAAAATGTGTCTACCATTATATACAGATGTGTTTTGTGCTTAGCACCAGCTGGCATGACTGGAATCATTCAGTTTCTAGGCTGAAACAGACCCAAAATAAGCCAAAGTATCCCGCCGCTTTTTCTTCCACTCACTGTTAAGACTTGAACACATCCCCTTCGATTGTGGTTATACATATCTGAAACGGGTAGAATTTCTGTGTATACTTTCTAAAAACAACGCGTGAGGCAAAATAAAAAAGCTTCATCTGTCCCACTCGGTCGTCGACCCCGTCACCTGCAGCTGCTCCAGAGAGCTCGACCTCTCGAACACAAACCACTCCGCCCCCTGGTGTGCGTCCAGCTGCCACCTTGGTAGGTACGCCGGAGCCCCGGCCTCGCACCTTTTCATCCCCAGACCACCGCCGACAAACGAAGGCGGTTTCGGCCAATCATCCTTCGGAGCGCTCACAACCAGTCTCTTGAGCATCAACGACGCCGACACGCTGTTGTTGTTCCCGCCGCGCCCGACCATCATTCCCCGCCTTGTCCTCCGAGCCCGCCCCCCGCCCCCGCCGCCGCCGCCGCCTCCGCCGCCTCCACCTCCCGCACCGCCGTTTTCTCTGTCGCCGCCGCCGAACTTTCGACGGAGCTCTTGGTCGAGCTTCAGGCAGCGGGGATCGCATCGGAGCAGGAGCGCCAGCGGCGACGAAGCGCCGAGTTTGAGATTGTCGGTGGGGCTTCCTTCCCCTGCCTCCGCAGCGGCCGCCTTACGAGCAAGCTCTGAGATGATGCTGTCCAAATACTCGTCGTCGTCATCTTCGACGCCCGGCGCTGTTTGCTTTCTGCCCCCCTCCTCTGGTGCGGGGAGTTTTGTGGGGATGGGCGTACTATCGCCGGCTTCCCCGCCGTTGTCACTGCTGTTGTCATTATCGCTACCATCCTCTTCTTCTGAGCTGCTGCTGCTGGATTCCGAAGAATATTCTCCGAATGCCTGGAAGTGGCGCAAAGGAGGGGGGGTGGTAGAGCGTTCAAAATTGCCTAGGTGGCTACAAGTATTGTTTATCACACCCCTTGTAAGTCGGGTCCTGTGAGCGCACTGCTTGTACGCACGGGTGACACAAAATACCACACCCCGTGGTAACTTAATATTTCCAACATGTTGTATGCACACGCTATTTACATGGGACACAACATCACGAGGGGAATGGAATCGTATGTCAACTGCGGGACCGCCTACGCGAAGACGTTAACTTTTTCTATGGAATACGAGAGGCAGGAGGTTGCGTAACCCGAAATTCCACCGAGGCAAGATCAACAATAAATGTCTGGTTTGATGTGTGCTGACAGCAGGAAGCCCTCTGTCTACACGCTAATCTCGTATTCGAACACTGCAAGAAACACAATCTAGGCACAGGAACGTGTTGAATATCATCAACAGGGGCATTCATTGCTCTACGGGAACGTGTGCTATCAGCTGTGATTAGTATCAGCTCACCGATGCGGACACCACACCCCCTCTGGAAAGCTCGTCCCCCTCTTCCTCCGAGTCTGCGCACCCATCAGACTCTTCAGATTCCTCGTTGAGACCACCGCCTAGGAGAGGGTCGAGGCCTTTAGCCTTGGCGAGTCGATTCAGCTGCCTCGCCGACATATGTGGTCAAGTAGCGCAGTAAGGGAAAGTAGAGTGTGGTTGGCAACAGCCGTGCTTTGCGTACTACTGCAGCTGTAGTGTGGCAGTCGGCAAACACCTGCAATAAACAAATGGGGGGTACACAGATGATATATAACTAGACTTAATTCATATCACCCCGAACCCCGAACCAAAAAGAAAAAAGCGCAACAGCCATAGCCAGCCCAACACACAGCCACAACCACACGGGCAGACAGCACGCACTCTGGGCTGGCTGTGGGCTGCGAGCCACGGTGCTGCTGCTGTGTTCCGTTTGAGCATATCGCAGCCACTCTGCAGATCGACGCGATACTACGGACGGTGGGTGCGGAGGGTGCTAGCTGCCGCTGTGATCCATCTCATGATCGGATATCGAAGCCGAGAAGGTGCCGCCGGGGTCGCTGCCGACGTAGCTGCCACTTCGCATCTTGTGGGAGGATTCGATGACAGCGGGGGCGCGGTACAGTCTCTGCGGCGACAGCTGCATTTGCCTGCTCCTGTCGACAGCCCACTAGGTGAGACACATGGGGAAAGACGAAAACGGGCAATTGCGCCGCATTTTAGATCTACTGCTTTTGCTCCAGGGGTTGCCTTGTGGAAGTCTTGAAGGAGGGACAAACTTGTACCAGTCCGTTATGTGGGAAGCAGACTGTCGAACTCCCCCATGGTCGCGCACATGCACGCTAACTGAGTGCGTTGTGTTATACCCCTTGTGTCACACACCTCTAAAACCCGAACACCTCTCGGCACATGGACTCCGTTGGCTTCAAATCTGGGTACACGAAAACAAATTCCTGGACCCACACTCCACTTTTTTCATTTTGGGCCGGCCGAGGGGGGGGGAGGGTCGGGAGGGGGGGGGG